TTTTATTACTTGGTTTAAAAGACTGTCTACAATGCTTTCCTAACTGACAACTCTCACACTCCAAAGTAGATAACTAAACAAACTCAAACAACTTTGGGAAAAGACATTTCAAAGAACTAAAAGAAAGGTAAGCGATTGTGGCAGAGCATAATCTAGTTCACTGACTCTAACCCACTATTACTGCTGCTGCTAACATGATGGCCTTGATGTTTCGAAATCTCATCCAGAAGGTAGACTCCATTCACCTCATGACCACTCCCAATCATCTTCTTTGACTCTAGATCCTACAAAACACAATTACCAGGAAGAAAGGTCACAAAACAATTCAAATTCTTTGTCAAAGAACTAACAGACAATAGGTTGGTGTGAAGTCTAGGGACATGTAAAACAGAAGACAAAGTTATATCATTGGTCATTCTAATTGTCCCTTTCCCAGCAATGGGAATATGTGAACCATCTATTGTAGAGACTCTGTCTCTACCAGAACACAACTGATAGGAACTAAAAAGGGTAGGGGCATTAGTCATGTGCTCAGATGCTCCTGAGTCTATAATCCAGGAAGGTCCCTCCTTACCTAAAGTGGATGCAAGATTTGCAGTTGCATATGAACTACATGTATGTGCAAAGGAAGAGGTGTAGTTGGCTCCTGCATTCTGCTGTCCATCTGGAAGGCTAGTGCTAGGTGAATCTTTCTTACTCATAAGCTATCCAAACCTCTCCAATTCTGTCCTCACTGCTACTACTGCAATGGATTCCCAATCCGTTTGGGAAAGAGGGACCGAAGAGTCTCCTGTAGTGGCTACATTTGCATTTCCCTTCTTGTTCCTTATCCAAGCAGGCGTAAGATTTGGATGAAGCTTCCAGCAAGTGTCCCTGGTATGCTTAGGCTTCTTGCAATAATCACACACCAAGTCCTTCTTATCTTCCCTTTTACTCTCACTACTCCCCCTGTCTCCATTCGGCTTAGGTTTTGTTGTACCAACCATAGCCGACTAGTCAATCCCAGGCTGTCTTAGCATTACATTCCTCCTACTCTCCTCTCCAGAGACAAAGACAAAGGCTTGAGAGAGTGTCATACCCTCCCTAGAAAGAATATGCTGCCTAGCAATGTCGAATTCAGGGTTCAACCGTACCAAGAACTCAAAAACCCTATTCCTCTCTACCAGTATGTGATAGGTTGCTGCATCATTTACACTTTCCCATACCACAGTTTCTAAGTGATCTATTTCCTGCCATAGGGTTTTCAGCATGGAGAAATACACAGCAAGAGGTTTTTCTCCCTGTTTCATACTAATCACCTGATTCCTTAACTGATAGGCTCTGGCTTCATTTTGTTTCTGAGAGTAGGTTTCAGTCACTTCATCCCAAATCTCCTTAGCAGTATTAGCCCATAGGAAATTTTTTGCAATATGAGGTAACATAGAATTACATAGACAGGACATTACCATGTAATTCTCCTACACCCATTGGGAAGAGTCTGTATTAGGTTTCTTTTCCTCCCAAGTGAGATACCTTAATTTTTCACGAGCACCAATAGCCATCTTAGCTGATTGTGCCCACTTCAAATAATTTGTACCATCAAGTTTTACTATAGTAATGACCCCAGACCCAAAAATATCACTACTACCTCCAACACCCCAGACCCAAAAATATCACTCTCCATCTTACTTTAAACAGTTCAACAGTAAGAAAAAATAGATTGGCAACCTTCCATAAACAATTGAATATCACACACACAGAAACAAACCCTTCCGGAAGAAGAAACCCTGACTGGAGAGAAATCTCTCTCCTCCCCACGCCTCCCAACAGAGAGAAGAGTGAATCAATCACTCCACGAGGCTCAGAAAAATCTAGAAACCAAACCGCACTCTTTAGGAAATCAAAAGAAAGCTAACAATACCTGGCCGCCCAAGATCAGATCAAAAACAAAGAGGCCAACTTTTCTAGGACTCTTCCCCATACTCCAGTTCTTCCTGATTTTGATGCCGAACAGTAGATCACCTTCCTGATGACTAGATCCCACCAAAAAAATCCAAGAACTGGGCAATCTATAGCAGATCGATCAGCCC